TAAGATTTTAATGAATGAAGAATAGACCTTCAAAGAAAAAAAAAACAAAACAAAAAACACAAAACTGTGGCCATGAGGAGGAGATGATGTGTTACAGAACTGGAAATTGGTTATAAAGCCAAGACACTGCCTCAGCTCCAGCTCAGCCCGCTTGCAGTTACCACATCACATGTCAGATCCCCAGCTTGTGTCGTGTGGGTGGCATTTTGCACAAGAGTGCCCTGGCTCTGCTCCTCTTCTCTTTCTGGAGTGCCCATGGAAGAGAGGTTTTGCTCAAATGAACGTAAGAATAAATCAAATTCCCAACACTGAGATGTCAGCTCTATCTGTTGTTATTACTCAAATTTTACCATGGAAAAGAGCAGATCACTCCAGTAATACAATGATTTTTAAATGAATTTTGCCGTTTTCAACGTGCTTTAACACAGCTGTAATAATAACACAAGCACTGTTTTATGTACAGGAGTAATCTCTAATTTCTATTCTATTTTTATATACTTCTTATCCCTCCGATAAAGAATCTCAATTTTTGTTGTTGTTGTTGTATTTTTGTGTTTGACACCTTGGAAAGCTGAGAAGTGCTGCAACCTCTGGAACTGTGATACAGGAAAAGTAGGAGACATGCTCAGCTCACATAAAAAAAACTGTGGTTGAACATGGGAGCAGATTTATGCATCCTACATTGAAAAGCAAATTTCATTAATCATAGAATGATAGAAATACCTGAGTTGGAAGAGACCCTTAAAGGTCATCTAGTCCAATTTCTCTGCAATGAACAGGAACACCTACAGCTACGTCAGGTTGCTCAGAACCCTGTCCTGCCTGACCTGGAGTATCTCCAGGGACAGGGCATGCTCCACATAGCTGAGCAAATTGTTCCAGTGCCTCATCACCCTTATTTAAAACACTTATTCCTTACAGCCAATCTAAATCTCCTCTCTTTTAGTATGAAATCATTTCCCCTTGTTCTACCAATAGGACTAATTATAGGCTGCTCTCTCTTCTTAGCTATGTATCACTTAAGCAGCACACCTCCCACTTTATTTTTACTATCATTTTGTTCCATTAAGAGGTTGTCCAGGTTTAGACTGTTCTAGTGTGTTTCTCTTATAGTACAAATGAACTTTAGGACAGGTCAGCCAGAAATACAGCAGCTGGCAGAGCTTCACAGGATCTTTCTGCAAAATACAAAATTAGGAAGACAAAAGGAAAAAAGGGGACACGTATCACCAGTGAAACAACAGAAACAGCAGTATTTTTCCAACTGCAATAATTTGAGAAAATACTACAAAAATATCAAAGTATCCTGGAGATCTTGTCCTAGTTACCCAGATGTTGGAACCTTCCTACAAATGTGATCATCCCCATACCCTGCATGCCTGAGCAAAGTGACAAGGAACCCTTTGCTACACAGGTGCTGCCGTTCACTTGTGTACTTTAAATTGAAGCTTGTACGGATGTCAGATTTTTAGACTTGATCAGATGTTGTGCAGAGCTCTGTTATTAAATTACAGTGCAAGTTGTTGTTTCTGAAAATGGCTTAATAGCAGTAACCTTATGGTTAATCAACTGTGTAGGAAAGTTCACTATGCTCTCACTGCAGTGTAATTATAAAGTGAGCAAAAATATAATTGATGCATTTTGTCGATCTGTGTAGCTGCAAGGTACTTTTTCAAAGGTTATTTTTTAGTCAGGTAAAATAAGTTAATGCTGTTTTGGCAATTATCCTTTGACTTCAGATATTTTACTGCTGATTCGGGTAAAACTACATTTTAAAATCACATGAAACGTCACAAGCATTTAAGAATACAAAACACATTTTGCAGTAATTGGTGTCTGTACCTTCACAGATTAAAGCCAATCAGAAAATCACTGAAAATACAGGAAATCTACATGTTAAAGTGTGCTGGAACTGGAAGGGAAGAGTTTAAATATAAAATAGAACCTTGAACGTACCCTTTAATTATCAGCACTAATGTTTGCTATGTAACACAATTGCAGTGATACGACAACATTTTTCTCATGAGTGCTCGCTCAGACAGAATGGATGCGTTTTGGCAGAGTTGCTCCCATCTCTTCTGTGAATTTTTGAGTAGAAGAGCTCTAACTCCCCAGGCCCCACAACTGTAAATATCCATGCCCATAAAATATCTGTGTGTATGTTAGCTAGGTACTGGAACTCCTCACTCTGTGCTCTCTGCCAATGGTAAAAAAGCCAGCATGATTTAAAATTGCAGATACATACGCAGAATAAAGCAGTGGTATTTCTGTCATTTGTTGGTTATCTGAAAGCCTGTGCATCCTGCTGAGAGCTCTCCTGCTCATTCTATTGGACCACAATTGCAACCACAGGTACAGGGTGGAAATACATCTTGTTCCCTATGGCTATGTGTGTTTCTGCAGTGTGGAGAAGATCAAATTTGGGATTTGAAAACAACTGGAGAGGGAGAAATGGCCATGTGCTGCCTTCTGCACTCCACCCTGCTGCATGAAGTAGCAGATTCTTGACAGTAGCTGATAAATGCAAACTGTGGTTTAATAGTTTAAGAGTATAAGTCAATTTACTATAAGAAACAAACAAAAAAACACTGAGAAAATGAGTCAATCTTACAACCTTGAAAGGATAAAAAAAATCCCAAAACAGGACATCGTCAGATGTAACTTCTCAGATTAGATGAAGTTTGTGCATCCTTTTCATCCATCGCAATAGGTTGTCTTAGGCAGCACAGAGGCATGGAACAACAGACTGGGTCCATTTTGGGACAGAACTGGCACGTCATATGCAAGATGCATTGGATCAATTTAAGAGTAAAGGATAGAAACTTTCACTGTTCTCATCTTTCCATTGGGATGGAAAGGGACACCTGAGCAACTATTTTATGTCATAATTGATTATCTTTAGTTGAATTACATTACTAGAGGAGGAACATATACTGGAAAAGATAAAATAAAACAGTCTGGCTTACTTCATATTTGTAGAGGAACTAAGATTGCAATCATGATCCTAAAGTGAAGGGTTGTAAATTTATAGGCTGTACTAATTTGATTGCCTATGCCAATGGGAGTATCCCTTTCCTGCCTTTCACCATGTATAATTCCCTACTGAATTTCAGTGAGTGTTAATACAGAACAGTAGTGATCAACCTCCTGATGAACACAGGTACAAAATATTAACCGGTTTCAAGAAAACAAGAGCAGATCTCAGAACTGGCCAGGCAGCATATGGCAAAGCACATCCAGCCCAGCAACATGTGCACAGATGATGCACTTAGATGGGTGGAATCACCCTTGCTCCACCGCTTGGGGTAAATCTTTACCACTAACTTCGAGTTGTACAGGGATCTCCAGGAAACTAACTCAATGTGAAGAAGTGTCTTTACAAATGACTTGGCATGATGATGCTAAAACCAACAAACCAGCAAAGCTATTTGCACCAAAGGATTCCCTTCGACCAGACTCTCCCTACAAACAGATGCTTCACAGTCCAGCTTGTTTTATTCAGCTTACGATATGGAAAAGCCAGATCTTTCCTCCTCCTACTGCAGGGTCTGCTGAGATGATGAAGCCATTTGATGACGATGCCATTAGGTAATACATCAGGTTCAGTCACTGAGCTGGAGCAATCCTCGTTCTCTCTCTTCTCCATAAGTCTTCAGTGACTGCTGCACTGAGACTCCTTATGAAAACAGTGTGTGGGGATTTTGCGGTCAACCAGGCCAATTTATTCCCATAATGAAGTTAGAGCCAGAAAAATCTGTGCTCCAATACATGCATAAACTCCATCGGAGTCAACTGTACGGCTTATGCACGTACAGGAAAAATAGGCCTCAATATTCATAGTAACATTGTGTATATAAAAAGAATTTGTGGAATTAAGAATAAAACATGAGGCAATTTGTTGATTTGCCCAGGGAGTATGTGGGAGCGACAAATCTGTAGATTATTCTAAGGTTGTTTTTTAGTGTCATTATCAGATCCAAGAACTGTATATAAAAGCACGCAGTCCTTCACATGCTAAAAGTATAGTTTGCTCAAACAATTGTAAAATATTCAGTATTCTTAAGATTAAATATCAGAATATTGCTTCTGAAGGAACAGCTGTCAGCTTAAATCTAAAGTCTAGTTTGTTTACTGGCTGTATTTTATATCTGTTAGAAAATGACACCAAATGGCAATAAAATTGTTGTAAGTATTCTACTGGGGAATATAAATGCCCTTTGGTTACAGTGTACATATCTTTATACATAATTCCAGTATATTTTCCCTAGAATTACGTTAAATATGTAAAAAGCCTTTTCTCATAAAGGTAAAAATGCTAGATGTTTCCAAGCTGTAATTTAGCATTAGTGTCAAGATTGCTTCAGAAAATAAGCTACAGTTACTGTTTCATTCCTTTTAAGTGTCACTCAGCATACCGTATCTGATCTTGTATTCAAAATAAACTTATATGATTTTATTCACTTTTCCAGAAGTGCGAGAGAGTTTAGACATAATTTATAGCATGTGGATTGATGTAAATAGCTTAAACTAAGTAATTGGCTAGTCACCTACGCTGTCTTATCCTATTACTGCTAGGTACTTTTCAAGTAATTAGGGAAAGCAGACCTCTTTTATCCAGGAAGTTTAAATTGGATGAATCCCTGACATTTGTGCAGATTTATCTGATAGATAAAATCATGCCATACAAAAAGTTTCTCTACAATGCTGAGCTTTACTAGGCCTATAATAAGAAACTGATTTTTTGCTGAGTTAAAGTCACTTATCTTTGACCTTTTAATAAGAAATCAACTCCAGTCAGCAAAAGTCGAGATAAAAATCACTGAGTTCATGTTATCACCACGTAGACAGCAAACACTTATCACTATCATTAACTTTTCTGTGCATGGGTTTCAAATAAATTTTAAATGCTAAAATTCAATAATTTCCTGTACATTACAATATTATAGCCTTAATGAATGAGGGAAAGCATGAAAAGTGATTTATTTTGGGAAGGTCATTTCTTGGTTAGCCAACATCTAAATTGAATACTATAAAGGAGAAATATATTATAGGTAAAACAGAAAATGGGTTTTATTGCATGGGAATTCTTTGAGTTTTACAATGCTTCTGATAAAAGGACTGCACTTACATGTTTAACCTCTATAATTTTTATGCTGCACACTTCAAAAAAAATCTTTTTATTTAACATTTCTACAGCAATTTATACTTGTCACCTTGTACTTAATGTTCCTTTTAAAGCAGCTACTTTTTGCCACGTGCATACAAAACCTGTAAAACGACTTGTGATACCCGACAATATATTTATATACGTTACATACTAGCAAAGTTAGACCGTTAATGGGAATACTATCCCTAGAAGAACATGCATATTTTAAAGACATTATTACATAGATGCTATTTTCCTGCAAAGTATACTCCTTTACATAGCTCTTCATAGCAGCCCTTGCATGCTGTAGAACAATGAGAGCAATATTTAAGTGAGTGAGTTTTGGCTCCTTGGCTTAAGTGAAGCTCACACTTAAGTTCTTTGCTGAATTAGAGCTAGAAGAAAATCTAGCTTCCACTGAAGTTAAAACCAGTTGTGATTATAATATAATGTGAATTCCCAACAAGCAGCCTTATACTAATCCCTTGCACTGAAACAAAATTATTCAAAATTCCTTTTATGTCTGTCAAAGAGTATCTGCAGATACAGAAAGATCAGTTTGAGACTTTGTAATAGATGCTGTTAGTAGTCATACGCATGAATTTCAGGGAGAATTTGGCTTAGTGATTTAAATAACATTCTCATACCAGACTGCTTGATGAGAAGTACTGCCATCCTCATAACTTCAAGTTCACTGGCCCACATGAACACCTCAGTCAGTTTAAAGCTAAAAAAGTATGGCTTATGCTTTTCACAGTGCCCACGTTTGCACTTAGATGTTGAAGTTATTATCATTTCTGTGTTGTTTTCTGCCCATAGTATTATCACAGTATTAAAATCAATGTACTATTTCTGAAGACGACTTGCCAATACCAAATAACCATCATGCAGCAGTGACACAAAGCATTATGCATCTGGTGGAAGGACGTTAGTCCCAAAATGTTTAAATTAATGAAGGCTCAATATAGTAATTAAGAAGAGGTGTTACAGGTCTTTCAGGCATAATTCCTGAAAATCATTGAAAGTTAAAAGCCAATGCCTTTTCATTTTGCTGTCTTCAGAATGTTTTAATAAAGATTAACAAACAAGAATTCACACTGAAATAACTACACTTTCACCTCCAGTGGCTTGCTGTAATAAAAAGCATGACTGCTTTACAGGAAGAAGGTTCCATTTCTAGATACTGTGGAACTATTCATTGTATCCTGCAGTTATACTATAGTACAATAACTAATTATAAAAAGAGAGAAAAAAATGAAGCAGAAATTGGTTGGGGTTTTTGTACTCAGCGGACTCTGTAGATCTATAGATGAGGTAGATGTATATGCAAAGGCAGGTCAAGTCACTGTTGTCAAAAACCACCACTGTTGATACAGGCCATGTCCCTACAGTCCCAAGAGGGTATTCTGCACAAATATCTGATCTCTGTTAGGAAGAAATAGGCTTGCTGATCATATAGAAAGAGGAAAGGCAGCTGTCATTCATCAGGCAGGGAGAGAACAGGTGACAATCTATGTCCTTGCCACCATGGAGGAAGAAACTTCTCTCCTACCCTGATGCTGGCAGGGTGAGGAGGAGAATGAAGAACAAAAGGGGAATGCGCTTCTTCTTGTGAGGTATTGCACCCCTTTCTGCCAGAAAATGGATAATATTATGCCCTGTAAATGGATCAGACGGGAAAATTTGTGGAAGGGAGTACTCCGAAGGGTGCTGCAAATAAATACAAAGAAATTGGTAACAAATAGCTGACCACCTGCAGTGTTTTAGAATGAAGATTTTTACGCATAAAGGACACAAAAAACCCCCAGCAGATTGGACTCCTTATCCCAAACCACCATTTTTAATCTTCATTTCTTACACTTAAAAGGTATACTTGGCGTTCCAGTGCAACTTTTTAGCTGCCAACAGCTTTTCCAACCCCACTTAAGGACCACTGCTTGTCACAGCAGAGACAAACACAAAAAACCCTGTTCCTGAGGTGCAACAGTAGCAAGCAGCAAAACTTGGGTACATCTGCCCCATAACAGACCCACAATAGAGTTTTCTCACTTTGCCCTTGTTATGGCCCTTGCTCTTGTACAAGAGAGGAAATGGAACTTTTCCCACAGAGATTTTGAGGGAACGTGGAAGATGGAGGACCTTTAAAATTTCCTCTCACTGTACAAATGGAACCTAATTCTCACTAGTGAGTGCATTGCCTTAGAATTCATTAACTTATAGAGCATACCTAAACTGGGGCCAAATAAGAAAATTGCAACCCATAAAACACACAAATGTAGAATTATATCCATTATCAGCTAAATGTAAGATTAGGATGTCAGTGTTACTGAAATTAGCAAAACACATTTCTTACGTGTATTTAGGCCTACCAATAAAATGCAGCAAAGCATGCATTCATCTCCTAACTTAGAGACACATTTTTCATTATACTGAAATCAGACACAGCCATATTGATTTCGGATAAAGACTTCTGTGGTATGCTGCAGGAAACTATGCAGGAGTGGCTTAAGCCATTCACACTGTGCAGTGCACCTTGCGGATGCTGATCAGCATCAGTTCAGAGGCTGGAAGTCTCTGGGAAGCTCACCCAGGAAGCCAAAATTAAATTTTATGGAAATGCATTTCCCCTCTCTCAGAAATACAAAAAGGAGTAATGAACAGAACCAGCAGACCAAGCTAAGATTTCCTCAGTGTTCAAAGCCCTTCCTACCACAACCTTGTAGAAGGTGAATGAAACCTGATGTTCAAAAAGCTGAGAATTAGGAAAAAAGCATTCTGCACAGAGCTACTGCTTGTAACAGGTGGGAAGTAGACGTGGGGCTGCACTGTTGACCTCAAAACAAAATTCTGGCCAATGCTTTGTAAGAGGAGCTTTGGTAACAGACTCAGGCATGGATCTGGATTTGCAAGTTTGTGTTAATTAATTTCTGCTTTATGTAGGCCACATGCCTTCTCTTGTTTTCTTTGGCTAGCTCTAAAACTCTAGTGTCTTCACTCTGGTGAATCACAGCTTCCTGGGGCAGAGAATTATTCCTTGAGGACGGTGTCCTTTAAATTAAATTTTCTTTAAAAAGGCAAGTAGGGCAAAGGCATTAAGAATAAAACACTTAAATGAAGAAAACAGCCTTGAAACATTAACCAAAGAGCAGAATCAGTGCTTTCCTCATTCTGGAAAGACATATTCGAACCTTCAATTTTGAAGTGAGCAACTGAAAACTGTATTTTAACATTATTTGTGCCCATTTTCTGTGGCAAGCAGACCTCTGTGATGATGCTTCTACTTCATACCTGGGTGGGTAAAGTAATATTTTTTTCATTTCCATTCTCTCAGATATCAGTGTAGGTTTTTTTAAACAACTCAAGACCAAAGGCAACAATGCAGTGCGCCTCTTCTAAGCACTTGGAAGTAAATGTCAATGCAATGAACAAAACACAGCCTACAAAACAGGTAATGGACAATACCTTTTGTTAATATTATTCTAGAATGCATTTTAGTATACAAGATGCTTGTAGCAATCCCAAAGACATGAGAACATCCAGAATTCATTCTAAAAGTTGCAAGATGGCACTATGTCATGATGTATGAGGAATGTGAATCTGAGGAAAAAACTAAGTGAATGTCCATACCTACAGCTCTAGTCGGATAGTAAATGTGCACAGTAATTACATTATATATTTATATACTATAATTCCTGAAGAGAATGACTCTATGGGGATTTTAGCAATAATATTTATAAAATAATTTGTGTGTAGTTTCAATGTATAGCTAGCATAATTCCCCTCAAATTCCTCTGAAAATTACACTGAATTTTTACTTTGCACGGTACATGCGTTAAATCACTGATGTTTGTCTTCCTATGCATGAAGGGTCAGGCAGATCTATTTTCCTGTTTTGACCCTGACCTACTTCGCGTGTCTTTTCCTTCAGAATCTGCATGTAAGGAATCTGCACGGACCTACCTCAACGATAGCCCCATCAGGCAGCCGGAGGAAGTGTCTGTAGAGCTGCTGGAAGCCGCTGAGGTGCACAGTGAACACCGACACGTGAACAGTGGTACCTCTTGAGTCACAGATCGCATCCTGGGGCTGGAGGTCACAGCTGGAGACACCAGAGTGGCTGCCATGGTCCTTCCAGATATAATCATACACTGCCACCTAGTGAGACAGAAGGCCCCCCCATAAACACACACACACACAGAGTCCCCCACCCCCCACCAAAGGAACATATTTAATTAACTTCTGGCAAGAGCTTAACCGATTTAAAATGATTTTACAATAAATCTGCAAAGCCTGTACCATATGCAGTGCTTGCACACGGTTCTCTACTACATATTTTTTATGACATAGATCTAAATAGAGGAGATAGACAAATCCCTGGTGTATATTCTATAAAGTTAATTCTGCACAGATGAAGCTGTAATTGACTCCCGTATTAACCAAAAGTAGGGAGATCAAACAGGATAGGTTAAACAATAAAATGGCAATGCTGATTAAAAAAAATAAAAATGCTTACTGAGAATTTTGTGATATTTGTATTTTTCTCTCTTTGAGAAGCCCTTATGCCTTTACCCACAAGCACTTTTTAGTCTCTGATCTCTGGATAGTATTAAAATAACCTTGCGCTGCTCACTGAACTGTAGATGAGGCAGAGTAAATAAGGTGCATTTCGGTGTGTTATAGAAAGCAATTTATTGACACAGTTACCTAGTTTCCTGTTTCACTCTAAAAGCATTTGCTTGGTAGCTTTTGTACCTTCTCGTGTGAGCCAGAGCTTCCATTTAAGCATTTTCATGTTAATTCTTTACACAGACTGGGCAGAACTTGAGACTCCAGCTGCAACATAGCACACAGTTTAAGCACCTCTTATCCTTTACTAGAGCTGATGATGACAAGCATTACTTTTTATACTCCCACTCAGGTGCAAGTGTTTTAACCCTTCACTTGTGCAAGACCTTTGCATAACTCATTTTTCCCATGAGATGCCATTCCTGTTTAGGGGAGGAAGGGATTGGTAAGATGTAGTTATATCCTCACAGTACACCAGCATGCTTTTCCTAATCACTTCTACTTAATGCAGAAGTCTTTTGGTGGTTGAGATAACAAGAACTCACCTATGAAGCTTAAGACAGCTGCATGAAAACCTTATCCTACTTAGTTTTCTTGTTTTGTTGTTTTTTGTGGTTTTTTTCTCCCTTTTTTTTGTTGAAAGAATAAGCTCAGATTCTTGCAAGAGATCCCCAAATCCCAAGATGCAATTTCTGTTCTCCCACTAAGGAAAACTAGAGTTTAGCTCAGTTTGCTTGTGCTCCAGTTCACACTTCCTCATCTGTTCTTAGTGAAACTGTTAATCCTGGAGAAAACTGAAGGGAGATCTTATCAATGCTTCTAAATACATAAAGGTTAGGAATCAAGTGGATGGGGCCAGGTTCTTTTCAACAGTGCCCAGTGGCAGAACAAGGTGTAATGGATACAAACTGCAACACAGGAACTTCTATCTGAACATGAAGTTAGGGAGTCACAGAGCAGTAGAACAGGTGGCCTAGAGAGACTGTGGATTCTCCTTCTTGAGGATATGAAAAACCCACTCGGATGCTTTCCTGTACAATCCACTGTAGGGAACCTGCTTTAGCTAAGGCACTGGACTACGTGAACACCAGAGGTCCCTTCCAACCCCTATGATTCTGTGATTATGAGGAATCCCATCACTAATACTGGGTACCAGTGCCACAATCCTGACATGCAGGCAGCTACTCTGAGCAACTGCCCTAGGAGATAACTGGTTTTAGGTGAGTTATGAAAGCAAGAATACACACATGCTCCATAAGAGTCAAAGCGGCCAGTGCTCTGATGAAAGCAGCAAGGCAGCTTCTGCTGGGGTGAGCTCCCAGAAAGTGCTGGCCAGAGCAGAGACAAGCAGCTCCAAGAACAGTCACTCCACAGCTTGTGCAATGGGAAAAAAAGACTTCACCATGGAAGACAACTCCAAGTTTCTCAAACCTTTATTCCTGAGTAAATCTTTGCTTTGCCAGGGCAAAGATCTCCTTCAGGAGCTCTCTCAAAGTGATTAGCTAAGAGAACTTAACACTACTGATTTGCACAGCCCCCTGCTCCCTAAAAGTGCAGCCTGATCATCAGACATCTTAGAATGAAAAAGCATCAAAACTGACAAGTTCCACAATATGAAGCTGCATATAACGACCAAAAACCAACCTCAGGAAAGGAAGGAGCATACACCGTGACACTGAGTGGATTTAGACACCCTGGGTCTGAAGGACTGTTCAAATTCCCTCTTGCTAGCATCGTCCTAAAATATTTGGCAGGCAGATGTCTGCTGCCTTGAAACTTTCACAATGTGTTTCTGTGAAGTGATAGGTCTCTAGAGAGCTGCGGTGGCCCACATAACCTGCAGTAAGCTCCAAAAGTAAACTCTGCTGTCATCCGAAATCTCTATCATTAAGTTAATCAAAAATGTCCATTCATTTCTACAGGAATACAATGAGAGTTAATAAATCCACAGAGACAGGCTAGTCAAGAGACTGTGCATATAGGACATGTCAGAGGAACTGAAGTTCGCTATGATCTAGATTCACAAGGGCTGACAAGAAACCACAAAATGCCAGAGCAGTGTACAGTAATCCTTAAATGAAATTCGTCTTTCAGCAAAAAAACACATTAAAGATGTTAATTCAATGATAAAAGAGGCAGGCCAGAACAGGTTCAAATACTGAATATTTCACAACATAACTTAATTAAAGCAGGAGCGTGAGGCTGTTAATCGCTTTATAATAGTTCAGCTTGAAATGAGGTTTGTTGTGAATGCTCTTATAGTTTATTTGCTTATAATGTTTATCTCAAAAAGTTACATAGCCTTAATGCAAACATACAGTTTTCACTGGTCTATTGCATTGGTTTCTTTCATTCCTTCTGTCTTTGTGCAAGCATGCAAAAGAAAGAATTGGGAAGAAGGGTCATAAATTTAGGTCAGATCAGATGATTTAGTAAGTCTCGTGTGGGTTGAAGTCTTATTAATAATTTTAATACATTTTTCCTTGACAACAATGATTTCAATCACTACTTCAACGTACAGTGTGACGTAAAAACACGAAGACTTTTAAAGGAATGGAACACGCACCTCACACAAAGGTTAATTATATCACCTTTTGGGAGTTACAATGCATAGCCAAAATGTATTTGTAGATATAAATACAAACGCATTTTGTTCTATCGTGCTGTACCAAGTGTATAGAAATAACATGACTGAAGTAGGACACACTAACATATTAATTAGCAATCCATTAATAAATGTATGCTTACATCGCATGTAATACATCACATGTGATAGACAACAAATTCGTATTAATATAGCCAAGGTCACAGTGCAGAAAATGTCATGCAAGAGCGATAAAGTTACAAAGGTTTTCTATTGTCCGACAGCTATTGAAAAAGGAAAAAAAATGAGAAAAGAATTCCTCAGATTTACTGACCTCCAGTAAGAATGTGAGGAACGCTGACTTTCAGTGTCTTAAAAAAGACTTTATCATTAAAAAAATTCTTAAGAATTTGAGAGATACATGTAGCTCTGTGTGTTGAAACACTACTACAATTGGTACCGATTCTAAACTGCTTCCAGTATTATTATTATTAACAATATAATGTGAATCAGTTCCAGCTTCGTGCATTGCAAAATGTGTGAAAAATGTTTGAAAGCAGCATTCAAAGAAAAGGCATAAAATGAACAATACAAACCAAACCAACCAGCTGAGAATGGGCAGAACTGCAAGCTCGGCGTGACAAACAATTAGCAAAAGTTAAAAGCTGCTAACTTTAAGAAAAAGAGCAAAAGTGATGAAATTATGGGGGGGGAGGGGGAGGAACATCAAAAGTTGAGGATGCTGTATTCACTTTAAATAACTTCTATAAACATGGTAAGAGCATTTTCTGTGGTAAAGGTTGTAAATACAGGAATTATTGTCCTGGAGGCAATCTTTGTTAGACCAGTGCAGATCTACAACTGAAAAAACAAAAGCTGGCTACCATTAGCCTTCGAGGGAAGCTCAGCAACCTTAAGCACTGCAAACTCCATTGCTGACTTCTGCTAAAAACCTCTAAACTGTGGGAAAAATGCAACTATTTTATATACACGTTTATATGCAGATGCCTAAAAACCACCATCGGTGCCTCTGAACTTTACATTGAATTGGTTGTACCAGCAAAAAAAATCCCAAGCCATCCCAGGAAGGATGAGGGACTTAAAGTGAACATGAACACTGTTCAAATAAATTCCCCAAACGGATAAAGCACCAAGTAGAAAGGAATGAACAAATGGAGTTATTACAACTGCCAAAAAGGATATCATCACGAAGAAGTCATGACCAGTTCCACTAGTTCCCTCTAGATTTAATCCTTATACGTACAGATAAATGTATGTGTGTGTTTGTACGCTAATAGGTACACAGCGTATTTTAGTGTGGCAACAGCGTGTGCTCTCACGCCTGGGACTACAGTGAAGTGTGCAAATGTGTTGGGTTAATGAAGGTCTTTAGTCTCCTGCTGGCAAAGGGCTGATGCCAGGCATGTGTGCATTGCTAGCAGCCTGTCCTTTACCCTTCCGCCTACGGAGCCTTCGAAGCAAGTGCGGTGCGATATCCCCACCTACGACTGTCTGTAGTAACTCTGCAGATAGATAACTTGTTTCTAAACCTTTCTATTTATGAACATAATGGACCAACATAATGGACCAATAGTATCTGGGAATTGTTTATTTCAGTCAAATTATGAATGCCTGAAGCATTGCCGTTAACAGTCTTCCCTGATTTATTTAATAAACTGACATGGGCAGACTGAATGATGAAAATAACCATATACAGAGAATAACCTCTTTGTAAATGACTGAGGAGAAATCGTGGAATAGATTTATGGCAAGCTGCTTAGCATTATAACCCTAGAAAAGAGCAGAGGAATTTTTCTGTTGTTGTTTTTGAACTGTGATAGCGTCACATTTCTGGACACGTCCAAATGAACAGCAATGCAGATCTTTTCCAGGGGACAGTTTTGATCTCCTGTGTTGAGATATCACAAAGAACATTCACATATTTTTTTAGCCACTGTGCACCCATTGCTCATGCAGTCCGCTGCTCACCATCCCATTGTTTCAG